AAAATGTACTCTGGAGCAATGTATGTTTCCTTAGTTTCTTTGAGCTGTGTTTTGTGAAATGTAATAAAATGTTAAGGTTTATAATGATAGTGACAGGTTCCCTCCTCCTTCTGATAAATATCTTCTTGATGGAATTAGTGTTGAATGTACAAACACGTACTTGCCAGAAGAGAACGATGTGTGTGAACAATTTAACTGAATGGCACTAGACGCAGTTAAAGCTATGCTTAATGACAGCTGAAATGGGAAAAGGAAGGTGGGCAGAAGCTCTTGGATGTTTCGTACATACATGGAACAGAATGTGTCATAAGAGTAAACGAATACCTTATGAAATGCTCCTCAACAGAAAACCCAATGTTGTTTATTTTAAAATATTTGATCGTAAAGTCTATGTTGGTATACCAAAACAGATTAGAGACAAATAAAAATGAGATGCAAAGAAGGAATCATGGTAGGATATGCAAAGGAAACTAGGGGTTATAAAATATGGCTATCTGAAGAACAGATATTAACTGAAACCGGCAATTTGAAATTTAATGAAAAAATGAATGCAGAAGATAGCATCCTGGACTTGAAATCAAAAACTAAGTATAAAAGACTAGAAGAATAGGAGGGGTTATCAGAATCCGATTAAGAACCGGAAACTTCTACAGAACAAGTCATTAGAACATAAATCTACTTCAAAGAGGTTTCGAACTTACACAGGCTATAAGAAAAGCGGTTAAGAGGCCAAATGGAACACACACAGATATACAGAGGCTGTTCACACATTTTTTAGACGATGTATATTGTATTCTGAAAACTAAATTACATAAAATTCTTGTATTTTAAGTTTTCTATTTGACATCCCTTATTCTGAACTATTTTTCGACACCGCAATTTCCAGGATAATAATGCCTTTTGAAGTGGCAGAAGAGGTATTCTATCCCATTTCTCACGAACAGCTTTCCTGTTAGAGTTTTGGGATAACGTTTGGATAATGCAGTTTTTTAAAGTCCAAAAGCACAAAAATCCATAGGTGACACATCAGGAGATTTAGTAGGGATATCAGTGAAGGGTATGGCCTTGATACCAGTTTTTTGTTCCATTTCTTTTAGGAAATTTACAGTGGATTTTGATGTGTGAGTGCTAGCTTTGTCCTGATGGAGTCTCACAGATTGATGGCACTGTGGGTAAAGCGATGGTATTTCATTCAGAAAAATTGGTGATAAAATATGTTCCTGATAGTATCTGGAGTTAATCTTGACATTTTTTTGCACTCTCTTTATTCTTAACTTGCCATTATAAGAAAAACCAGCAACAATCATGAATCCCTTAGAAAAACTTTCTTTCGATTCTTTGACCCATGTACTTAAATTTTTCCCTCCCCTTTTATAATAATAAATGGCTCTTTTTTTTTTTTTTTTGTTACAATCATTTAAATACACCCATGCTTTATCTATTGTGACAGTTGTTTTCCATTTTTCTTTGGATAAGTGTTTCTCATATAGAATTCTGCAGCGTGTCCTGCGTTGAGCGATTTGCTTTGGAAGAAAACGATGCACATTGCGTTTTTTTGCTTTCTTAAGATTTAAATCAACGTTTATCATTTTGTTTACAGTGGACACCGAGCATTTTAATGATTTTGCAACTGTCCTTTGACTAGGGGGGATTTTCTTTTAACATTAAACAATGTACCTTTGCAATAGTCGAAGATGTCCGCTTTTTCCTTGGATGCTTGGTTGGAATTTTTGTTCCACTTGAGGCTCCAATTTGACGTTTTTTTCCTTTCTTGTTGATGATATTACCTATCGACGCTCTAGATATCATAAAACCATGACTCTCACATTGTTTTTGGATAATAGAGTACGCATATTTCTCTTCGGAAAGAGCATAAATGTAGCCTTCGAACCACTGCTTTGTTAAATTTGGCATTTTGAATAAAAACAAAACTTTCAAGCCACAGACGATAATTTTGACTTTTAAAACATAGTGAAATTGCAATTACTTCTTTTGCAGCAAATGCTTTTTTATTACTGCTTACCAGAATTGTCTAAAAAATGTGCGAACAGCCTCTGTATAATACTATGTAGAAGGAACAGACACTCATTTTAGGTCTCATAACAACATTGAAAAATACTGTGAGTCTAGAAATATTAACTTTGAAAGAGATATGTTTGACTTTAGTGGCAGAAACGAATACTCCGGAAAATTTAATTGTGTAGAACAGGGAATAGTTTCATATCTGAAGAGGCAAATTCTGTAGAAATTATTATCTCACAAAATTTTAAAGAAGCACGGAAATGAGTAAATGCTAAGGAATGGCATAAAGCAATGAGGGAAGAAATTGACACGATGAAGGAAGGTCTGGGAATTAGTTTAGAAGGCTAGAAAAGAAAATTATGCTGGGAAACAAATGGTCTATTCGCTAAAAAGAAATGAAAAGAATGAAGTAGTTAGATATAAAGCATGTCTAGTCGCACAGGGATTCAGGCAGAAAAGAGGTGAAAATTTTTATGACGTTTACAGTCCTGTAGTAAATTTTTCAATCATAAGAATATTTTTCACAATACTAGTATGTTTGTATGGATGGACTAAAACAATGACCTAGAGCCATCAAATTTTGAATAGCGTAATCTTCCTCTGAATATGGGCATCTCGAAGCCCTAATTTGGAATTTGAAATTTGTTTTATTATCAATTTCATGTTTGTAACACTTTAATGAATTTTTATTAACAAATTTAATGATTTCAAAGCGAGCAGTGGCAATACTGTACAGGAAAAAAACATTTTTATCTCCAGTGCGCAAGACTGTATTTGAAATTCTAAAGATATGCTTATTTTTAAATTATTTTGTGATATTGCTGTTGAATTGGATTTTATGGTTGAAGCGCAAAGAACATGATATTTAATAAACAAAGGCAACACACAAAACTTTAAAAAAAGTTTCTTTGGGTGTAATGTAAAATCTGAAAGCTTTTTCTTAATCCAGAGCGGCAATTAGCCCAGAAAGACTATTCGTTTCATTTTGGGATTTGGGGATGATTCACTATGAATGTCAGTTCACTTTTCAGATTGTTTACACCAAATATTTAGAGCCCTGTATTATATTTAAAGAAATTAAGTAATGGAAAATCTGTGTAAAAGTACGTATATTTCTCACATCATGATAAAGCAACGGTACCCAGAGCCATCAAATTTTGAATAACATACGTTTCCACCCGAATCTGGGCGTATGGAAGCCAAAATTTGCAATTTATTTTATTATCTATTTCATATTTTTAATTTTGTTTTGGCATTTTGCGTTGATTCACTATAAATGTCGGTTCACTTTTCAAATTGTTGCCTTTTCCAGGACCCAGAAGAGAATTGTAGAAAGTTTGGTGATGATAGCTATAGTAATGACTGAGTTATTAGAGGATAACCAATCACACAGACTTTATGGATTATTTAAAGGGTTAAATTGTAATTCTATGCCCTGCTGTGTTTTAATCATAAGTTTCTGTAATCATTCAGTACTTACATATTATACTTAACACCTTAGTAGAAGTAGCCAAATTTTCACAGTCAGACTCATAACAACCCATAAGTCATCATTTTCATATGCATTCTTTTTGCTGTACTTCAAATTCCAACTTTTTTATGTATAAATATGCTGTTTGTTGCTTTAGACTCATTTTAAATTTGTGCTTGTAAAATTTGGCAACAATGGAAGAAACTGTGATAACATTTCTGCGTGAATGTAGTATTTTGCTGAAAAATTATTAAAGAGAACAATGAGATAGATGCATTTAGTAGATAGTTGATGCATAATGCCAAGATTGTATGTTAAACCGAGTTTGTGTAACTCTGTGCATTTTCAATATGAAAACAGATTGCTGCGTACATGGGAAGAAGAACAGCACAAAAAGAACAATGAAGGATTTTGCGAAGAATTTGTTTCTTTAATGTATTATGTAATCCATATTTATTAATTAAAATTCTTATTTTAAATTGCTAAAGTATATTTCCTGTTGATATGTTGACAGATTTTTTCTGACATAAGGTAAATATCGATAGCTTAGAAACCTTTTTTAAAATATTGCAAAAATCACCACCTTGCAACTAACAAATAACTTTTGGTTTTTCATTTGTAAAAAATTGCCAAATTCCCTAAGGGGATTGCATTCATGTATAAATATCAGTAATTCGTGGTATGATATTTTCTAGTCAAAGGAAAATAGCTTTGGAAAATTACTGATCCACTATCTTTGGCTGAGATACTTTTTTTACTGAAATTTTATAGTTTTCTTTTAATATATTTGATTTTGGAGCTGCAATTTAATTTATAAAAAGCTGGCTGTATATTAGTATTTCAAAAGTTAAAAAATAATTAGAAGAACTTGAATGAATGATGATTTTTAAATACATTGAACTATTTATTGTTTGTTGAGTAATAAATTTCACATCCTGGCAAAATAACAAGCATGCCACTTCAAGAAAATATTTGTGCAAGCCCTAGTACACTAGTGATTGAGAGTGGAATAAATGTGCAACTAAGTTTTAAATAATTATTTTATTTATTAAAAGGTACAGTCTCCATATGGTATTAATTTATTCTGAAATAATATCACCACAAATTTTAAATTTAAATAGCTTTGCCGTTTGCAACAGCTCATTTTAAATATAAGATTTTGTGTCTAATAACTTCTAGGTAACTGATTCTTAAACTGTTACGTCATTTGCAACTGCTTAACAGTTTCATGTTTTAAACTGAAATATGTATAATTAGACCAGATTGCAATTTATTTTAATTTTTTAATTATTGTTATTTTAATTTTGAAACTTTAGTGCTAATTCTCAGATTGTAATTTTTTAATTATGTAATATTTCACATGAAATTTGCTGATAATCCTTTAAAAAAACAGCTTATTTTTTACTGTTACTTAGAGTTTTCGTTAAAGCATTCAAACAAAATGAACTGAATACTCATTTCTCAGAGACCATAGAGTTTTTTTTATGTAAAACACCTTTTGTTACAGAAAACAGAAGAAAGATCTGCAGAAGCGTATTGAAGATCCTCAGTATAAAAATTTTGTGTACGCTAATTCAAAATATGTGAATTTTCCGCTTCCAAAGGTAATTTTATTTAATGGTTTGTTTTTCAGTTTATTTTTATTTGTGTTTTATACAGTTTATTTCTGTTCTTTTATTAATTAGTTTACTAAAATAAAAGAAAATTTGATAATTTCATTTTTTTTCCATAATTGATCAGTTTTTTAAAACACATAAAAAGAAAGTAATACCTGTCTTAAATCAAAATCGTAAAAAACAACCTTATATTTAGCATAGGTATAATGAAACACTCAATCGATTTCGAGGGCAGCTAAAGGTCCCTCCTCATCAGGAGAAAGAAATACATAGAAAGAAGAAAATAGGAATCACAGAAACACGTGGTGCTTATCAGCACTGCACGTGGTTATAACTAGATTTTTAATCAGAGTTGCACTGGCCGCCTACTTTTACTGAGCCAGGCTGTCTGATCAAGCATAAAGAAATATTAGCGAAGTTAAAATAGGGAGCGAGGGGCAAATGCACATTACACTCAAAATCTGAACTTCAAATAATGGAAAGCAACCACTGAACGGATTTTTATACCCTCTGGTAGTACCAAGTGCGAGGAGGTAACGCCATCTATCGGCAAAAATAATAGAATTAAGACAGTAGAATTTTAAAGGCATTAGGAAGGACTGGATTGGACTTCAAATCATTAACTAAACTTTCTAAATCTTTGTGAATGTGAAAAGCCTCAAGAAAATCCAATTCGTCTATGGAAGAAGCCTTTTGGATGATTTTTGCAGACCCAAAATCAAAATTATGGTTAAAAGTCCAGCTATGATACGCTATTGAAGACTTGTTAATTTCGCCTTTTTTGACATAAGATTCATGTTCCTTGATACGAAACTTCAACGCTCTTTTTGTTTGGCCAATATATCTTAAACCACACTGACATGATATACTATAAATTCCCCAAGAATTCAAGACAGAAACGCAATCTTTTAGAATCGAAGGGTGAATTTTATTAATAGGGGAGAAACCGACTTGAAAATTGAATTTCTGGAGAATCCGTGCAATTTTATAGCTAACAGAAGGATAAAATGGAAGCACGACAAGGTCATTGATATTATTTCTAACAGTGGAATGTCTTCTCTTCTTTGATGGGAATCTGAAAATTTTTTGACGGCTTTATCAATAATCACGGGAGAAAATCCACGGTCAATCGCAACTGCTCTCAAATAATTAAGTTCATTGGTAAGCAAAGATTCAGAGGAACAAACTTTTAGCGCGCGGAAAACATAATAGTAAAAAGAAGCCTTTTTTTGCTTAACAGGGTGGCATGACTTGGCATGGGGTGGTAAACAAACTGCAAAGGGTTTACGGTACACAGTGGTGCTAAAATCGGTTTCATTGCGGATTATAAGAATATCGAGGAAGGGGAGGGAATTGTTGGATTCAATTTCAAGAGTGAATTGGATGGCTGGATCAATTGAATTCATAATAGATAGAATCTCGGATAAATCCTCTTTATAACCGTCAAAAAGTGCGAAAGTGTCGTCAACATACCGAATCCAAAGACGAAAAGATAATTTATCAAATAATTTCATCTCAAAATAGTGCATATAAATGTCAGCAAGTACCGGACTGAGAGGATTACCCATAGCCAATCCTTCAACTTGACGAAAATATGCATTTTGGAAAACAAAGTGGGTTTGACTTAGAGAAACTTTAGTAAGCGAAACCAACTCATTAATTTCAGTATGTGTGAAGTGAAATTCCCGAAGCCCTAGTTTCAAGACAATTTAGTGCTCCTTCGACCGGAACATTAGTAAACAATGATTTGACATCAAATGAAACCATAATGGAACGAAGTGGGGAAATATTTTTAAGTTTATCAATGACTTCAACAGAATTTTTTTACAGTGTGAATATTGTTATCAAGTAGAGGAGAAAATCTGGAAACTAAATATTTGGCCAAAGGATATGAAGCAGTACCTATGTTGGAAACAACTGGTTGAAAAGGAATACCGGTTTTGTGGACTTTTGGAAGAGCATAAAGTCTAGCGCAATTAGTAAGGCGGAATAAGTGATTTCTTCAACTGAGTTGGCAGAATGTGGGAAGATTTAATAGCACTTTTTACTTTCATGAGGTCCGAATTTGAAGGATCTTTAGGGATCGAGCAGTATGGGCCTTCATTTATCAATTTAGAGACTCCAGTAATATATGTGTGTTTGTCCATAACAACGATCTGTCCGCCCTTATCAGCTTTAGAGATAATGATATTAGTATCAGAATGAATTTCACGTAAGATCTCATTTTCCTTTTTGCTAAGATTAGAACCCAAAGATTTATTGTTAAAATTAACGTTATGAGTAATTAGGTGGCGGATTGTATCCTTCTGCGTTTTCGAAATTTTGGAGAATTTAAAGGCTTTCTCTATAGGGGCGATGATTTGAGGAATTGAAGGTTTAGATGTCTTTGAAAAGTTGAAATTATATTTTAATACTTTTAACTGATCCTCCGAAAGATTCCTATTAGGGATATTAACGATGGAGTTAACGTTTACAGTGGGAAGATCAGCTAGATAATTGGGACTATCCGACTGGTGTGTGAGTTTTTTGGAATTTAGAAATGAGCACATTTTTTATGCCGTTGACAAACGGTATCGGTTCTAGACCAGGATGTATGTTCAAATGAGGAAAAATTTTTCAGTGGAATTAGCAATTTTTAAATGGAGGTAATATAATTCAAATTCAATTTTAGATAAACGTTTGCGTGTGTCCCTTATAATGTGACGAAGAAGTGCCAATTTGAATTTATGCAAAATTTTTGAAACGTGAACGGAAGCTTTAAGGCTACATTTCACATGTATAAATTTGGGAATGAAATTTTGATGTTTGCATTTAAGTAGAAACTGTAGATGATTCAAGAATTTCGTACGCTTAAGGCGTAACTTACAAAATCGGTTCCTGTCAGTGGACATATTGTGAAAAGGGCACAAGCAAGAAACAAGTGAACAAAAGAAATAATAATCCGATATAAAAATCCGTTCAGTGGTTGCTTTCCATTATTTGAAGTTCAGATTTTGAGCGTAATGTGCATTTGCCCCTCGCTCCCTATTTTAACTTCGCTAATATTTCTTTATGCTTGATCAGACAGCCTGGCTCAGTAAAAGTAGGCGGGCAGTGCAACTCTGATTAAAAATCTAGTTATAACCACGTGCAGTGCTGATAAGCACCACGTGTTTCTGTGATTCCTATTTCTTCTTTCTATGTATTTCTTTCTCCTGATGAGCAGGGGACCTTTAGCTGCCCTCGAAATCGATTGAGTGTTTCATTATACCTATGCTAAAATATAAGGTTTGTTTTTTTACGATTTTTGATTGTCACATTAGCGTGTCTCTTCTAGTCTAGTTTGTGCTATCAACCGGCATTTTCGAGAATATTTTACTGTTTATTGTTTTAACCACGTGCACCATTTTATTTACTTCTTTCCACGTGGCCATCATTTTTTCGGATTTGGTTTATATGCTATCAACCGTCATTTTCGAGGTAATTCTATATTTTTTTTTTTTCGGTTACCACGTGCACGATTTTGACTTTCGTTGCTTCTTTCCACGTGGCTATTGGTTTTCAGTATTGGATGTTTCTCTCCTTTTGGAATGTTTTTTGTCATTTGTTGATGAAAATTGTCTTCATTATTTAATTGGGTGTTTTTCATGTGTATGAGTAATTACTTGTTTGGACTTTTGGAATTATATTTCTTTTGTTCACTTGTTTCTTGCTTGTGCCCTTTTCACAATATGTCCACTGACAGGAAACGATTTTGTAAGTTACGCCTTAAGCGTACGAAATTCTTGAATCATCTACAGTTTCTACTTAAATGCAAACATCAAAATTTCATTCCCAAATTTATACATGTGAAATGTAGCCTTAAAGCTTCCGTTCACGTTTCAAAAATTTTGCATAAATTCAAATTGGCACTAGAACCGATACCGTTTGTCAACGGCATAAAAATGTGCTCATTTCTAAATTCCAAAAACTCACACACCAGTCGGATAGTCCCAATTATCTAGCTGATCTTCCCACTGTAAACGTTAACTCCATCGTTAATATCCCCAATAGGAATCTTTCGGAGGATCAGTTAAAAGTATTAAAATATAATTTCAACTTTTCAAAGACATCTAAACCTTCAATTCCTCAAAATCATCGCCCCTATAGAGAAAGCCTTTAAATTCTCCAAAATTTCGGAAACGCAGAAGGATACAATCCGCCACCTAATTACTCATAACGTTAATTTTAACAATAAATCTTTGGGTTCTAATCTTAGCAAAAAGGAAAATGAGATCTTACGTGAAATTCATTCTGATACTAATATCATTATCTCTAAAGCTGATAAGGGCGGACAGATCGTTGTTATGGACAAACACACATATATTACTGGAGTCTCTAAATTGATAAATGAAGGCCCATACTGCTCGATCCCTAAAGATCCTTCAAATTCGGACCTCATGAAAGTAAAAAGTGCTATTAAATCTTCCCACATTCTGCCAACTCAGTTGAAGAAATCACTTATTCCGCCTATTACTAATTGCGCTAGACTTTATGCTCTTCCAAAAGTCCACAAAACCGGTATTCCTTTTCGACCAGTTGTTTCCAACATAGGTACTGCTTCATATCCTTTGGCCAAATATTTAGTTTCCAGATTTTCTCCTCTACTTGATAACAATATTCACACTGTAAAAAATTCTGTTGAAGTCATTGATAAACTTAAAAATATTTCCCCACTTCGTTCCATTATGGTTTCATTTGATGTCAAATCATTGTTTACTAATGTTCCGGTCGAAGGAGCACTAAATTGTCTTGAAACTAGGCTTCGGGAATTTCACTTCACACATACTGAAATTAATGAGTTGGTTTCGCTTACTAAAGTTTCTCTAAGTCAAACCCACTTTGTTTTCCAAAATGCATATTTTCGTCAAGTTGAAGGATTGGCTATGGGTAATCCTCTCAGTCCGGTACTTGCTGACATTTATATGCACTATTTTGAGATGAAATTATTTGATAAATTATCTTTTCGT